CCGAGTTTAGTTCATTTGAAAACCCGAGGAAAAAATACGGAGACAGAGTGGACCAGGAAACTAAATTCTGAAAGTTTCATCATTCGGTATTGTTCAACGCAGGATATTTCAAATGACATACTTTTTACAAGTCATAAATTTTTTACCGAGAAACCAATTTTCCAGTTCCCATACGCTACCTGTTTCCACAGGCAAAACTTCCTCAACGGCATATTGTTAGTCAGGTAAATGCGCAACTTTGCCCCAATTTAACCAACCTCTCATAGTTTCCAAGATGCCAATGGTGAGAATCGATTTTGAAAGACCGTTTCCGAATATAAGGAACTATTTTTTTCGCACCGAAGGAACGCATGGTACGCAAATCTGTTCGAGTACGTCGATAGATATACTTTTTAAGAATATATTCTGAAATTTTCATTAACAAACTATTTTTTATAGTCAGAAATTTGACTTTTTTGAGTAATTCAGTTCCGAATATAAGGAACAACGCAGGATATTTCAAATGACATACTTTTTACAAGTCATAAATTTTTTACCGAGAAACCAATTTTCCACTTCCCATACGCTACCTGTTTCGGTACAAATGAATTTTTCCTGAATAATATTATACTCTTTTTTACATTTCTTTTCGGTATTAATGTTTGTATTGGGACAGTTGGCTGATATAATGAGTTTATGTAGAAAGCTGACTCATTTATTCGACATGTTTCAATAATATATCGTGTTTTTGAAATGATAACATCGAAATACAGGTAAAATTGTTAATATTCACAAAATGGCAACACTGTTCGCAAATCTCATTCTAAACCCTGTTCAATTGTCCTTCGTCATAAACTGTGAATGAAAAGTTGTGGGTAACTTCACACTAATACAACAAAAGCGGTTTGAAATGTTACAAAATACACATATCTCAAAAACTGCATCCAGATGGTCTCGAGAGGCGATTAGAATTTTGTAATTGGCTAATAAGAAGGAGACCTGACTTTCCTTTTTTCCTGGAAAATGTAATTTGGACAGATGAAAGCACTTGCACGTGTGGGATATTCAACCGTAATAACGAACACATTTGGAGCAAAAACAGCCCCTAGCACTTCCGAGAAATTTGACCTCAAATGCAATTCAGAACTAACGTGTGGGCAGGAATTTACAAAGATAGAATTTTGGGTCCTCATTTATTTGATGGAATTCTGAATGGAGAAACCTATCACCAGTTTCAAATGTCGATTTTTGAAGACTACTTGGATGATCTATCATTGGCTAACTATAACAACATCTGATTTCAACATGATGGTGCTCCACCGCACAGTACCAGACGAGTATGTAATTACCTGACTGAAAGGTTTGGTGATAAATGGATAGGGAATAATGGGCTAGTGAGGTGGCCAGCAAGGTCTCCAGACTACATTCTTATGGGGTATACTGAAAAATAGAGTTTATTGTCAGAAGGAAATAATATTGAGGACCTTCTACACAACATTGTTATAGAGTTCGGAGATTGAGGAGGAGAGAAATTAATCGTGCAGTGAATAATATTCGAAGAAGGGCAGTGTTGTGTTATCAAGAACATGGCTATCATTTTAAGCATTTACTGTGATTTACTTTTGCCTTTACATTTTATTGAAAGCCAAAAACTTTCTTTCCCAAAAAATTAATCACTCCTAAAAATATAACCTTTTCAAAATAAATAATTTGCTGATCACTAAAATATTACCTCTGAATGAAAGGTAACATCGAGGTATGAAATAATAATTCTACGACGTTCAAACGTGTTTTGATGGCAGTCGTAACGGAAATGAGCCAAATACCATTACCTTCTTCATATGGAAAAGCAATAAACTTCACAGCAAAAGATGTATAGATAGAATTGACCAATAGCAAAATGCTAATCGCATTGACGTTGAACATTTCTTCTCATGAAGATGAACAAGCATTAAATCCTCGAATGATTCAGAAAGCAGATCTTGTTGGGAACTATAAAAAGGCCAAGTGTGAATTTTGATCGCTAGAAGCAATGGGCAGTTATTCCACGGAGACTTGTACATCTTACATATACAGAGTCATCCCCTACGTCTATTTCTTCCGCATCAAACGATAGTTGGATCATCATGGAGCTGTTCAAGTATATTCAGGATACACGTCTTCGAAAGGATCATCTAGAATTTGTGGGTTCTTCCATCCGGACTTATCCATTTACCAGTGAGTAGGTCACCTCGAATGCTCATGAAGTTCCATTGGAGTCAGTAGCCCTTTTCCCGCTGGCCGTGCTTGGAAATCTCTTGCCATTCCGGCCTCACTCCTTTGGCCATCCATTCCCGTACAGTTTTCAAAACCGAATCCCTCTTCTGCGCTTCAATGAACTCTTGCCCCGTTATGAAGGTACTGCCACCCTCAGAGGTTGTTAATGATCGTACCACACCATGGTCAGGTGATTTTCCAGGTTTCCTGTCCGCATCCTCAAACAAGGGGCCCTAACAGATTGCTACCCTCCGGGACGGAGGGAACCCGAAGCGGCGAAAGGTAGGGCTGTCTATAAAGGGGTCTCTGCCCGCTACCTTTTCACGTTTGGTGGAAAGTTCTTCTTCTAGTAGCTGAGTATTCTTGTCTTTCTGGCGTTGGCAAAATTTGCATCCGGATGTCAGGCATGGTCTTCTTGGGAGGCTATTTGCGTTTTTGTGACTTTTTCCTTTTCGATGTTGAATTTCAAACTCGTGAGTTTGTAACTTTATGACCCACCTTGCTGTTTGTTTTTCTGGGGTTTTGAAGTTGAAGAGCCACCAAAGTACTGAGTGGTCTGACATGATGAAAAATTCAGGACGATTTAAATAGGAGTGATAGTGTTCCTCCGCTTTAACCGCTGCAAGGAGTTCTTCTTTCTCGTGACGCAATAAATTCTTTCGGACCTTCTCAGATACTTACTAAAATAACTGATGACGACTTCTTCTTCCTCATGTACCTGGGAAAGTACTGCTCGTATTCCATGTTGGTATGCATCCGTGTCAACTATAAATTTGCCCCTCTTTCTTTGGGTATGCCAGAATCGGGGCACTGGTCAAATGTTTTTTCAGGGAAAAATGCTTGCTGGCGGTCTGAATACCAAACGAAGGGGGTTTTCTTTTCCGTCAAGCAATGCAGTGGTCTGGCAATTTTTCCCAAATTCCTTCACGAAACGCCGGTAGTAGCTACAGAGTCCAAGGAATCTTTCTACGTCGTGCTTGCTCTTCGGTGTTGGCCATTCTTGCACTGCCTTCATTTTTTCTGGATCTGTTTCAACTCCTTCAGACGCCACAACGTGTCCCAATACATTCACCTTTTCCTGGATGAGACCGCACTTCTTGGGGTTGATCTGTAATTGAACATTCAGCATCCTTGTGAAAATACTTTTCAAATTTGACAGATGTTTGTCAAAACTTATTCCGGTGACTATAATGCCATCGAGATAGACCAGGCATATTTTCCAGGGGAGTCCTCTCAACATCAACTTCATCATGTATTTTAATGTTGCGGTTGTATTGCATNGAGTGAACATACAATAATAATAATTATTCACCATTTGTGATACATAGCGTATATATGGTAGGTCAATGATTATTTACAAAAAACAGTACGTCACTTATGAATAAAATTATGGGATCAAAGCTTGAATAAAAATTAATATTTGCATATACCTACAAAGGTATAGGTATAGATATATAAAATGCTAATTAAAAAATGAATAAAAAATGTGGCAATTTTGCTTGCCGTAGTCAAATAAATATATGTAATAACTGGTACTGAAAGTAAAGAAACCAGTGTTATGTTGATTCTGTTGTGCCAATATATTACTAGATTCAGCCGTAATTATTGATAATTAAATATGGGGTCAGGAAGGGACAATTATTCTTCTGGTTCTTATCGGCAAAATATTCAGAATATCAGGAATATTTTATATAAAGTGAAAACTCGGGTTGAGGCTTAAACTTTGTTGATAGCTTGGTATGAGATTTGATCGAAAACTGTATTAGATCATCATGAACTATAATACAAAGGACGAGTTGAACAGAGTGGTCTATGATATGGTTGTGAGTGAAGAAAGTTGCCCACAGGTGACATTTTGAATGTTTGACTACATCTGATTTGTTTGGAACTGAGTGAAACAGCGTCTGTCTTTTATAAAACAGTAAGTTATCACAAAACTTTATGAGATGAACTTTTGAATCTGATAGAACAAGTAGATTCTGAAAAAACTATTACATCACAAAAATATTTCTCGGAAAACAGGTACTTAGTCATTGGCATTTTATTAAAATTAATTTACCAATGGTGAGTGAATATATTATTGTTGGTCGTTCGAAATAAAAACTTGAAAGTTTGTGTTCATTGATTGCAGCAAGTTTAATTTTTGTTCTTGATTTTCTATAATATGTAATATGTCCTAGTGTATGAAATCGTGGTAAGCATATGTGGAATTGGTTTCCATCAAAAGACAATTATTAGAATATTTATAAATTTTCTGGTTTCCCAGAAGTGATATTGTATTGTAATTGTTATTACAAGACAATTATTATAATTATTGTCATGGATACAGTTGCATTACTGGACGAGATGTCTTCCATTTTGATACAAATTCAATGTTTTTATTCGAAAATACCAGAAGTTCCATAATAGTACTTGGGTTCATCGAAAATCTTCTTTGAATATTTGTGATTCATGAATTCATCTGCAATGAAGATTAAAATAATGGAAGCCTTTGAATCATCTCAATATCTACAACTGTAGGAAAATGCAGGTTTACGAGAAATAACTTTCTGATCTTCAAAACGGTGTCTCTAACTAAAAAGGGTGCATATCACTGTCAATAGATATTTTCAAAAATATTGCATCAGCTTTCTTTTTGTGAACAGAAAAAAATGGCTAGTCAGAAATACTTCAAAAAGTTCAATGTTGTCGTCAGCTTATTCATTAAATTCTTTATTTGAATATTTATTCATCAGACAAGTTTTTTGAATACAGTTTTGTTTCAGGATCTTCCACCCTACCTAGGGCAACAACACGAACGACTGACACAGACGGACGGACGGATAAAGTTACAGCTGCAACTTCTTCTACTAGCCTCTACGATAATGTTGGTGCTACTCAGACTGGATCTACACAAGGTGAATACACACAAGGTAATGATTCTTTATATACTTCTATAGAATCCTTGCTATTGTATAGAGGCATTTTTTTCACCAGTGGAATCTGAAGGAAAAATCGTGTGATATAAATTAAATGTGAATTATTTAACTATACTAGTCTTATGTCTTATAGGAACTTCTACTAGTTATTGTTGATTGTGTGTATGGATAACGCCAGCTGTACCAATCTCATTTTTCAAAAACTAAAAAAACTACGTAATAATATACAGGTGTAAAGTTCTGAAACAGATTCTGATTTCCTCGTCAATAAAACTCTCATCATTTTTTTCACAAGATTTTTATATTTGTAATACATAAAAATCATGTGCACTGGAAAACTATGTTGCTCAACACTGCTATGTATATTAATTTGAGAAAACCATTTTATCAAATCCGAAATTTCAGGCAATTGCTTTTTGAAATATGTACACTTTCCAGTTGATAACTTCATTGAAAACTGACGTAAATGAATGAATAACTACTAAGGAAGTATTTACCAACCTCTATCTGAATACTATTTGAAATACTTCAACCTGAAGTGTGCTTGTTGGACCAAGCGATATTGTTATACTTGTGATGGACTGTTTGGAACCATTGGTGTAGCAATGAATATTATTGGAGTTTTTCCCAACACCAAACGGTTATTTTAACACCTCGACACATGTTTCGATCACCAAGTGATTATTTTCGAAAGGAAGATTAAAGTAAATATACTTGCAATGTTATCCTTATTTATACCATAGATACCTCTTCTGGGTACCTGTGTCTTAGGTGTCTTGATCTAATTTAACAATATTGCCTTATGTACTAGTCTTAAATTAATTTTACAATGTGTCCTTATAATAATTAAAATATTATTTTGACAAGCTATATAGTATACTATTAGGTATTGGTCAACCATCGTTATTCATAATATTACTATGTTTACTTATTTCTACACTGTTATAGGCATCAGATGCCTGTTGTTGTTTGCCTGTTGTTGTTAACTTGTCTAACTAATCTTCATGAACTAGAATCTATGGAATGGTTTTGTTGCAAAATATGATGGGCGACTGCTGATTTTTCTGGTCTTCCATATTTTAGGTGTGTTAAGTGTTCCTTATACAGCGT